GCATTATCAGTCCAAAATACTATGATCTATTTCATGCATCAGAGTAAGCCTTAATATATGTTTTGGTTTAGCATGTTACATGAACCAAGCCAATTGTGGATTATTCAGTAAACAGTGATGAAGCATACCATGGCTTTCTACCTTACTATGAGCTATCAGTCTATATTTCTTAAACTGTAAGGTGCCATAACACACATTTAAGTTTATGACAATACTGTCTGCAACTATTTATAAAAACTTGTTTTATTTAGTATAACATACATTTTGGTTACATGTAGTTTAATCCAACCCAACATCTGTTTCTGTAACCTGGAAAAGAGCTCTATGGGGAGAGGAAGTGATTTTGTTTTTAGCTTAACAAATCAGAACATGGTTTAGTAAACCATGGGCTAAAAGTCCTGGTTTACTGTTATGCATGAACTCAGCCCTTGTAGATCCAACTCCGTTATATATAACCTGCCCTAAATGACAGGTTACTATGTACAGGTCGTCTCACGATCTGTCTTAACAACACGAAAGAAATGATATGTAACGCATGCTGCTAATTACTGAAACTGCTTTTTCAGAGTTGTGTAACAGGATTATGCAATATCAAATCATTGTAGAATTATTAGTTTCCTTTATGTATCCTCTAGTACACCCACAGCCACTGGCAATGTGAAACAGATAACGTGCATTCTGAAAGGATTAAATTCTTTTGTTTCCAGTCTCAATACAGCTCTGTTTGGGAGTTACAAGATAACATAAAGAGGTTTTATGGAAAATATTGAAATAAATGTACTCAAACTTCAGTAAAAGCCTCTGTGATTAAAGAGAAGTTGGTTAATGGAGAAAATGGAACAGAGCTAATATCCAATTAAGGTAAATTACATTTGAAAGGGGAGGCTACTGTATTTACTCTGCAAATACTCAAAAAGGTTAGCTCTCAGTGTCGAATGATAAAGGGAATATTTTTAAATGATGTAGTGCTTTCAAACCAGTATTTTAACAGAACCAAATCAAAATTACCCATTTCTTATAGTTTCATTGCAGTGCTAATTATGTGAATTGAGACAAATAAAAGATCTGAGTATGCCTTCCCTAAATTCCAAAATTTGATAAAATGTTTTGTTTTACTCAGTGTTAAATTTTAATTATAATGGATAACTGTTTGTTTTACTTCAAACTTTACTTTTTTCTTAAGATGTATTAAGGTCAAATGCAAAAGCATTTTCAGTCATATACCATTCCATTTACTGAAATAAAAAATAAGAAATAATGTACAGTATATGAAAAAATTGCATTTATTTTCAATATCCTTTGGGGGAAAGTATGCATTTGTGTTAAAGACTTGGGTTTGTTTGGGTGAAAACCAATGTGCCCTTGAAGGCTGCATTTCCAGAACTTGCCAAGCATACTAGCCAATCACAATTTGTCCTAGCATATTGTACCAGTGGTTCAGTGTAACATGGGAACCCAGCACACTGAAATAATTTGGTGAACTATAATGGAAGGCATAGGCGAGGAGGAGACTGGTATGAGAGATCAAGGCTGTCAGGAGGGAGGGGGTACATTCCAGAGGAAGGGACAAGGCAAGCACTTTCTCAATCCGCAGCAGGATGGTGAGAAGAAGAGGCTGAGGCTAGCCCATCCCTAGACTCTGACAGGATATATCTGGTGGTAGCTTTAGGATAGGTTTAGTCTGGAGAGATTGTGTCTATAGTGTGTAAGCAATAAAGGAACTACACTGGACTGGACTATTTTGTCATTGTTCTTGGGCTGAACCTGACATGAACCATGACTAGACAGACATAGATAGCTGTGAAAAGATTTGTATATAATATCTGATCAGTACAAAGATTTGTATAAGAGGAAGTCAGGGCTTAGATAATGATAAATAGATGTATTTGTGGCAGCTGTTTTGTGTTGGGGCCACAACACTCAAAATACAAAATTTGCTTATGGAATGAACAAGAACAGCAATCTCTGTGTAGACAATTTCTCCTAGGAAATTAAATACATAAAAGTGAAGTCGTCTTCAAATCAAGCTTGACAGTGGACATGTCCATTGTGTTTCCTTGGCAAAATATAGGTGTGATTTGTGTTGTCATCTTCTGGGGTGTTTTTTGACTGGGATTTTTACAGTGTAGACTGCAACTCTGGAATTCCCTGAATTTTCCATCCAAGCATTTATCAGTTCTGAACCTGCTTAGTTTCCAAGCTAAGCAAGGTCATCTACGTACTGCCACGTAGCGCTATAGCAGCACATACATTTGTCCTATTAATGGGTGCTCAGGTTAAAATGTTTGTATGAGAAAGAGAAAAGCATATTTCTTACTAATGTAGCACAGGAAGAATAGAGGTAGAATTATGTTTCAGGTTCAAGTTGTTCCAACCAATTCAGAATTGTTTTGAACTCTATAAACAGCTCTTTTTCTTAATCTCTGCTCAGTCGTTACCGACTCTGCAGTGACTGCTTGGACGAGTCCTT